CTTTTGAAGTGGCTATTGATTATAGTTTAAAACACACGCATGCATACACACACACACACACACACACACGCACACATTATACACACACACACACATACATATATATATATATATATATATATATATATATATATATATATATATATATATATATATATATATATATATATAATGTGTGTGTATCAATTAATTTAATCAAGCCATCAACAAATTATATTATTTCAGTCTCTTTATCATATAATTTCATTAAAAACTTTAAAGTATATAATTTTGATTGATGATATTTATTGAATTTTGAAAATCTACTACGAATCAATTTTTTTAATCATTTCACCCCAAGCAAGGCGGGAATGCCACTAGAACGCAGGGGGTTACAGAGGGCGAAGGAGAGAGAAAAGACTGGGTATAGAGGGGATCGAGGAAAGGATAAAAGCTGAAAACAGTAGCCATGAAAATATTTGTAGAAAAGACAGAGGGAAGCCACGTCACGTCGGTGAGAAAGTGATTGAAATCGAGATACCAAGTCAGGATAGATTACATTGCAGATCCTTCTTTTGATTTTGTCAAGAACCTCGAGATGAATAGCATATATGGCAAGAGTATTCAATGCACAGACGAATAGTAGATGGACTCTGACGAGAAAAACCTTCTGGCACGACACAGTAACTCAACTTTCCTTGAAGTAGATACAGCTATTGATTTAATGTAGGCATTCCTCTTCGTCAGTTGAGTACATGAGGACAAGTAGGCGCAATGTGTTGCTCTCCATTGGATTCTTCAGTACACTCTTGCAAAGCTGCCAATAATCTCCAGAACCGAACTTGCGATCCGCAAACAGTAACTTCGCTTATTTGAGGACACGCTTGTACTCGTTACGAACAGAGACAAAGAAACGTCTGTTGCAGTCAGATGTGTCGCTCTGGTATAGCCGGAAGAAATGATTCTTGTGGGCCACAGCGGCCGCGCATGTAGGTGAAGACCAAGGAGATAAATGCGGTTTAACTTGATATATATTGTGGCAAGCTTGATATTTAATCGTTTATCATAAGTATTCACCCTACAAACATATAGATGTGGGTTCAATACGAGGCGAAGTAAAAACAACAATATTGTCCAGGTTTTCATGGAAGACATTTGAGAATCATATTTAAGAAAAGACAAGCAGAGATTTCTATCCAGTCTAGAGTTGTTCCTCTTCCTACACAAAACTTGGAAAGTAAATAAAATTCTTAATTTCCTATCATATTTATCAATAGTGACCTCATAAGACTTACACTGAACAACATTTTATTGAAAGAACGTGTTAAAGAGGAATGTGTGAGAACGTAAAAGAAAGAGAATGCTTGACAACATAATCTTACGAGTTTTTGTTCTTGGTAGATAAATTGTCATTGTTGTCTCTGTTGTGGCCAGAAGTTGGCTGATAGTAGCAACTCAATTTATGGGAAAGCGATGCCTGATACTTTAATAATAGGAAGAGAAAGCGACTGCTGCTATGCAAAACATTAAGCTCGTTGATGGAACGGTTACTGGTCAAAGCTTCTGACTAATTTCTATGGTTACTTTATATATATATATATATATATATATATATATATATATATATATATATATATATATATATATTATTATTATTATTTATTTTTATACATTTATATAAAAATCATAAGTTATATTTCGTTCCTGATGCGTTGGTAAAATAATGAAACTTCTTTAATCGCACCCAAACGTAGGTGTATGTATATTTATTAATATATAAATGTGTGTGTGTGTGTGTGTGAGAGAGAGAGAGAGAGAGAGAGAAAAGAAAGAGTAAAGCTATGACGAATAGAAAGAGGTGAACACTGAAATAATAAAGGAAATAAAACTAAACAAGATTTAACAAACAAGGATAATTTATTCAGCGAAAGTGAATATAATATATCTGAGAAAATATGGTAGAAATAATATTTCTGAAAAATAGAAAGTCAGTAGAAGTGAAAGTAGAATGTACGTTGTCTTGTGTGTATAGTGGGTCAGCCAATTTGTATTGGTTATAAATAAAAATAAAAACTGACCCTCTACAATTTTTACAATATCAAATGTAACAAAGACAACAACAAGAGAAATAATCAAGTAGAAGAAAATGTGAATTTGTTCAACAATAAATATTTTTTTATAAACACAACAAATACATAATATATAGTGCAAAAGTTGATAAACACAATAGAGTTCTTTGTGTGTGTGTTACTGAAAGAATTTGAGCTACTGTACTGTATGTGTGAAAATGACAAGGTTTAGTTAGCTATATTTGTTTTATAGGAAAATTAAACAGATGTTTTTTGTGTATTAAATAGAAAAAAGTATTGTTCTTGACACACTGATTGTTATCGCTCATTAACCAGAGATTCTTGTGGAATGGAATATTTTGTGGGAATGAGCGTTAAGCCTGGAGATGGTTGACAAAGTTTGTTGTTGTATTGAAGATAAACTTCGTCTCCTTTGCTGTGTTGATTTCCAATGAAGTCAAGTGAATTGGTTTCAATATTTTAAGTGCCCACTGACCAAGTCGCGTCGAAGTTTCGTTTTTATTAGTTCTCTTGGTCACGTGGGGAGGCTCGTAAACATGTTTACATTTTATGGCGTCAACTAGAGGTCAAAATTTGGGTCGGTACCTTCGGACGTAGTTGACGCCACCTAATTAATATTTTACAACCAATCAAAATACATCAGTTGTTATATTTGGCTGGGAGCCTCTATGTGTTTAACTTGCACAAAATTTAAGATTTAAAAAAATGTAGGAATCTGATTCTAGAATAACCCCCCCCCCCGCAGATTGTGAAAGTTTTTGCGAGAAAATTTTCTCAATATGTAATATACGTTTTAAATCTACTAGGCCAATGAACATGTCTGCCAGACTTAGTAGTAACTTCCGCGGGTGGTACTGAAGATAAAAAGCTGCGCTGGCTGGGTCGAAGATGTTAGCTCAGGGTTAGGAAGCGATTTATGAGATAAATCGATGTAAGCCGGTTTCAACCGGTCGACTGACACTGTGTTAGGCTTTCCGTGCAAAAGTAAAGTAAAATGCTTGGACGTTCTATTAATTACTTTATGTGGACCAGAATACGTGGGGGTTAAGGGTCTTCTAACTGCATCTTTTCGCAGGAAGACGTAATCACAACTGTCTAAATTTTTCGGCATAAACAACTCCCTTGTTTGGGCACGCGTTGGAGTAAAAGCTAGGTTTTCCATTTTTTGTTTAAAATCCTGGACGAAATAGGTAGTCGGTCTGGAAGGAGTATGCTTTTCCACGAACTGTCCAGGGAGTGTTAGCGTACTCCCAAAAACTAGTTCTGCTGTAGTGCATCCTCTTTGACTACATTTCTTAATGACAGTAAAATCAGTGGTAGGTTTTCCAGCCAAGTCCTGGAGTCATCACTTGCTGCTAGTGCTGCCTTAAGTTGCCTATGAAATCGTTCCACAAGGCCGTTTGCTCACGGATGGTAGGCGGTTGTAGAAATGTGCTTTACGCCTAACAAGTTTATAAATTCATTGAAAAGGACTGACTGGAACTGGGAACCTCTATCAGTGGTTATTACTGAAGGACAACTAAAGACAGAGATCCACTTTTTAAGAATGCACCTGGAAATCGTTTCCGCCGAAGTATTTTTTAAAGGAATGGCTACCGACCAAACGTTCGATTATTGTCAATAAGTGTTAGTACCCATCAATGTCGGGCAAAGGGCCCACTAAGTCAACGTGAATGTGGGTGAACCTACCATCAGGCTTAGAGAATGTACCAGGCGGAGACTTGGTATGCCGTTGTATTTTAGTTTGCTGGCATTTTAAACAAGTCAGTGTCCAGAGTTTTATGTCACTGGACATTTTTGGCCAAATGAAACGATCACTAATCATCTTAGTAGTCGCTCTTCGACCAGGGTGCGACAGAGAATGGAAATGTTCGAATACTTTTTTTCGCAAAGAAGGTGGTACATAGGGCCTAGAGTATCCTGTGCTTACATCACAATAGACAGTAGTGTTACCAAATGGCACAGGGTGTTGCTTTAACTGTAGTGGCGTTTTTTTTTTACTGATTCCAAAGTAGTGTCAGTCTTTTGTTCTTCCGCTAAGGAGTCGAAATTCAAGGTCTGTGCGTCAATTGACTGTATCGTTGATCGCGATAGGGTATCAGCTACTATATTGTCAGCCCCTTTTACATAGCGGATATCCGACGTATATTGGGAAATATAATCCAATTGTCGGATATCCCTTGGGGTATATTTGTCCGACTTGGCGTGCAGAGTATAAATTAATGGTTTATGATCTGTGTAGACCACAAAATTCCGTCCTTCAAAAGATGACGGAAATGACGGATTGCCAAGTATATTGCCAGTAATTCCCTTGAAAATGCGCTGTACTTTTTTCTGGGATGAGTTTAGCTTGACTGAAAAGAACGAAATAGGTTTTTAGCATCTCCCTGTTCCTGGTGAAGCACAGCCCCTATGGAGTCGCCTGATGCGTCTGTTGTCAGTGTGATCATTGAGTCATCATCGGTTATATATGATAACTTCGTAAAGTTGGCAAGGGCGTCTTTGGCTCTGTAAAAAAGCAGTCAGTGATTCGCCTTCCAAGGTAATCTTTGAGTTCTTCTGACGCTGTTGTTGCAGTAAATCTGTGAGGGGAATCAGAATCTGGGAACAACCAGGAATGAACCTCCGGTAGTAATTAATGAGGCCTAAGAATCGGCGTAACTACCGGAGTGAAGTTGGTTGTGAGAAATTTGAAATAGATTCTATTTTCTCAGGTAAGGGCGTTATTCCTTTTCGTCAATGACGTGTCCCAAAAAAATTTAAGCGAGGGCACAGCAAAAATACATTTCTCTGCGTTAATCTTAAGGCCAAAAATGCTGTAGACGCTGGAAAACTTGTTCAACGTGGTGACGATGTTCAGTCTTGTTTCTACTGGCGATCAGGACGTCATCAATATAGGCAAAGGTGAAAGGTAAACCCTCAGCACTTCGTCTATAAGCCGTTGGAAAGATTGTGCAGCGTTCCTTTAAAACCAAATGGCATTCTCACAAATTCGTATAAGTCAAAAGGAGTAGTTATTGCTGTTTTATGGATGTCTTCCTTGGCCACTGGTATCTGGTGGAATGCTTTCACCAGATCAAGTTTGGTGAAGACTGTGGCGCCCTGCAGACCCACTGCGAAATCGTGCAAGTGCGGGATGGGGTATTTATCCGGAATTGTAGTAGCATTCAGCTTCCGGAAGTCGCCACAAGGTCTCCAAGCTCCTGAGTCCGGTTTTGGAACCATATGAAGAGGAGATGAGTAAAGACTCGAAGAAGGTCTAATTATACCGAGGTCCAGCATGTGCTGAAACTCGTCTTTCGCCAGTTTATATTTATCAGGCCTCAATCGCCGTGGAGATGAATGCGTGGGTGGGCCCGTAGTATCAATGTGGTGCTCAGCATTGTGACGAACGGTTTCTGTATACCGGAATGGTGTTGTAATTTGAGAATATTTTTGTAACAGATCCTGCATTCCGTTGCCTTCAGGTAAAGTTGCGCTGATACATATGCTCGTATAAATAGATGTAATTCCTTTCCTTGTAATGTTGGTCGTTTTATCCTCCAAAGAAAGGGAAGACATATTAACGGACAAGTTAAAGTGGGCGAGGAAATCCGCTCCTAGGATTGGGGTTCGAACTTGGGCTATCGTGAATACCCACGGAAAAGATCGCATAAATCCCAGATTTAGGGTTATTAAATCCCAGATTTAGGGTTTCACCATATGTCTGGATTGAAGATCCATTCGCCGCTTGTAACGTATAATCTGTCTTTCTAGTCAACATATTAGGCTTGGCTGGTATTACACTAATTTGTGCCCCAGTGTCCATTAAAAACAAGTATCCGGAGTTCTCATCTCGGATGTAAAAGAGACGACTTTTTGGCATCCCTCCGGCAGCAAACGTCTCTACTTGTTGCCGGGATAGTCGTTTCCCGACTGCTGTGTGTTGTTATCCTTAGCTGCGTTTATGTCGAAGTTACACGGTTTCGTACAATGCCGCACTTGTTGTCCATATTTAAAATGATACCAACAGGTATTAAATATAGGCCTGCTTCTGGATGTAGAACGTGATCTTCGCCTAGTATGATGTGATGGACGTGGTCGACTAGTGAAATTGTTGGGCGTGCGATTTTGCTGATGCATAGCGGTTTGTAGAGCTTGTAACTGTGAGGTAAGCTCTGCTATACAATCTTTAATTTTCGATAACTCTTGTGAGTCACGGACTGAAGAGACAATAGGTTGTAGTGGTGTCGCAGAAGCAGTTCCCGGAGGTTTATTCTCATATATTTTGTCCGCGATTTCTGCCAATCGCTGTAGGTCCAAATCGTCCGGAAGTGACACAAATATTTGTGATGTTTTGGGCTCAGTTTATCCATCCATAGTTTACGGAGGACTGTGTCAGACATGGTATTGTCACCTAGTAAAGCTTTCATCTTTCTAAGCAATTTGGAAGGTTTATAGTGTCCCAAATGAAGGTTGTTAAACAAATCGTGCAAACCGACGTTCCTCTGATTCGCCCGTGCGGTATAGTATAGCATCTTTCAAAGTATCATACGGTTTCTCCGCCGGCACTTCACTGATGAGGTCTGCTACCTCTAATGCTACATCTGAGGGAAGTTTCTCAACTACAAAAGCGTAACGGGCATGCGTGACCTTTCTTGCATTAAAATTGCGTTTAACTGCGCAAACCACACTTGAACGTTGGTGTGGTTGTACGTCGGTAGACTGATGGAAATTGCCGCTTCAGTATGTTCGCTGGTAGAATTTTCCATTGTTTTCGTTTAAAACGTGACAACTAAAGTATTTCTCTTATAAAATGCTGTTTTTAAAATATTGCTTTGCACATTTGAACTTCGGGGTCACCAATTTATAGTGGGTCAGCCAATTTGTATTGGTTATAAATAGAAATAAAAACTGACCCTCTACAATTTTTACAATATCAAATGTAACAAAGACAACAACAAGAGAAATAATCAAGTAGAAGAAAATGTGAATTTGTTCAACAATAAATATTTTTTATAAACACAACAAATACATAATATATAGTGCAAAAGTTGATAAACACAATAGAGTTCTTTTGGTGTGTGTGTTACTGAAAGAATTTGAGCTACTGTACTGTATGTGTGAAAATGACAAGGTTTAGTTAGCTATATTTGTTTTTATAGGAAAATTAAACAGATTTTTTTGTGTATTAAATAGAAAAAAAGTATTGTTCTTGACACACTGATTGTTATCGCTCATTAACCAGAGATTCTTGTGGAATGGAATATTTTGTGGGAGTGAGCGTTAAGCCTGGAGATGGTTGACAAAGTTTGTTGTTGTATTGAAGATAAAGTTCGTCTCCTTTGCTGTGTTGATTTCCAATGAAGTCAAGTGAATTGATTCAATATTTTAAGTGCCCACTGACCAAGTCGCGTCGAAGTTTCGTTTTTATTAGTTCTCTTGGTCACGTGGGGAGGCTCGTAAACATGTTTACATTTTATGGCGTCAACTAGAGGTCAAAATTTGGGTCGGTTCCTTCCCAACACGTCAAGTTGGCATCCCGGCAATGACAAACAACAAGTTGGCACCCCGGCAACGACTCAGCTTCAACAACGATCATCCTGGCATCAACCAACATCAACCTCAACAACCACCAAGCGATCATCCTGGCAACAACCCAGCAACTATCAACACCAACCTCGACCATCAATGCCTGCACTAAAACTTCTGCACCTCCACCGTTCCGACCATCTTTATTTCCTTTTTCTTTCCCTGAATAAATTAGCATTTATCATACATATCCTCGTTCTGTCGTCTATATTGTTTCACCGTCAGATTTAACGTCTTCAAAAATGTCAGCGGGCCTCTTGTGACCTCGTTCACCCCTTTCTGTGATACGGGGCCACACGGAGTGCCCGCTACATAATAATCAGGAAACTGGTATTTATGTTTAAAAATAAATTACCTTTATATAACTTTATATAACCAATAATTTAAGTATATAATTTTTAATTCTATACGCTTTTATTAAAAACTTAGTGAAAATTAATCATTTTATTTTTTATATTACATTGGAAGTATAAAAAAAGTTTTTAATTAATAACTAGTGAAATGCTACATTTTAGTTTAATTTATTGCTTAATTTGTGTTATATTCAGTGCTAATAGGAATATATACTTGACAAACACGGTGGATAAATAAGTAAAGGTTTATTGCAATAACTAGTACAATAAGAAATAAGGTACAGTTATGCGCACGATCGTCGCAAGTCAATCCAGTAGTGAGTGCTGCTATTGGAAGGTAAGTCTGAGTCGTACTCAACAGATCCCAGCTGGACGATATTTACCAGCATCCCCACGAGGCACAAGGCTGAGTTTAATGTGGGCCAAAAATTCCCCGTAGACCCCGTATAAAACGGGGTCGGGTAGATGCCCGGAGGCAGATAGTTTGACCAGCACAGCTGGAAAAGATCCCAGCTGGACTCCCGTAGTCCGTTGCCTTACGGATACTTATAGGTAGTTACTATCTATAGTGTAGTCACACATGGGGGTGACAGGTTACATCAATTATATATTCATATATTTGATCTCATAATATATTATAGCAAAATATTTTTAATTGAACTATTCTAAATTTAAGAGTTATAAATATCATGTTATTCCTCCGATAGGGAAGAGAAGTCAAAGGTGGAAATTCAGAATAATAAATCTTTTTCAAAAATTTTCTCATCCGCTTTCGAGAAAATCTGAACGAAGGAATGTGCATTTCTTAAAAATGGAAAATAGAACCTTTCTGGGTTGTGATGCTCTCTGTGGCTGACAGGTTACAAAGGGGGATACAGGTTCAAACCAGAAAGAGGATGAAATCATGAAGCTGACTTAAAAATGGTGAGAGATAATGTAATAAAATGGCACATTGTACAAATATCTAAATTTCGTTTTTGAAATTCACTTAAAAACGTTACGAACTTTGTTCAGACACAAAACCACTTACTTTTCGCGGACACCACTTACTTTTCACATCAATTCCAAGTTTGAGCAGCACTAACTTCACGAAGTTAAACCATTTATATACAAACGTTTCGACTTATTTTGCTATTTTCTCACGTCTTCTCCAATAATACTCGTTATCGATCCAACATTTATAATATAAGTGAAAAGGTGTGCGTGTGCTTTCATGTACCTATATATCTCTTGTATCTAATAAATATATATAATAATGTCTCTTTTTTCACAGGTATGACAACGCATGACAACTTGACCAATTGACATTATATTCCTCCGATTACGATTATTCGCGCCAAGGCTTCATTATTAACCAATGCTTGTTGAAGATATTTTCAATAATGCCGAGGTTACAAACTTGCAAAAGCAATCGCATCCATTCGAAGTACAGTCGTACACGTTTCGTGTATTATTGCGTCGTTATAAAGAGCTTTAAACAGCATTAGGTTCCCCGGTTATTAATTTTTCGTGTTTGCAAAAGACACGTTGCAGGACAATTTCTACAACAAAGAAATTACATACTGAAACGGTTTATGTGTTTTGTTCAAGTAGCATGTCGGTGACACTGTTTACGGCGTGTTTCCCAAGGAAAACTAGTTTTAAACCAGGTTGAGAACTTCCTATCTTTAATATTCATAAAATACATGGAATGTTTGTTTCTAATGTTAGTATTTTATATTACTTTTTAAGCGTTTTCACTGATTATTTGATACTGAGAAAATCGTTAGTCTTTATAGAGATAACATTTTTTGAGAATTTGGGACAAACATTTAAAAAAGTAAATGTGTACATTATTTACATTATTCGGACTATTGTCCTCATCTTTGTCGCCATATTTATTACAACGTTTCGGCCGTTGTACGCTCCGACCTTCTTCAATAGTCCGAATAAAGTAAATGTGTATTTTAAATGTGGCATATATGCTAAATAATATCAAACATTCATATTTAACATAGTATTCACGGAAAAAATTCTTTACTAAATTTGATTTTTTCATGATTTTATGAACGTGTAAAAATGGTTCTGTAACAAAGTTGACGGGTATTCAAAAAGTTTATTACGCAGTAACGAGACAAATATCTAACAAAAAAAAACAAACAAAATAATATAAACAGTACAAAGAAATAATCAGAATCGTTTTTAGAAATAGTTGCGTAAATATTCCTTTGTGTGACAAAAGTCTTATACTTCCAATGTGAAGGCGGAATTTGCTTTCAAAATTCAATTAAATTAAATCCAAATGTTCAATACTCTTTTCATTTACATAAAGAAATAGTAATCTTTGGGTTATGATTAAAGATTTGAATATTTCATACAAATATTTGTTTGGGTTTATTTTAATTGGACACTTAAACTGAAGAACCAGCCATAGTGAATGTCCTGAAAATCATAATATGGCACTTTAAATTAATTGCTTCGTCCACTTTCTATATTTTATATTTAATTTCTAAATTTGCGGCTATAAAAGTCGGATTAGAAAATGCAAATACGAAAAGGTTTTATAAGAGTAAATTTGTGTGTGCCATTATCACGTTATTTTGATTATTATTTTTCTGCATTTGCATGTTCACACCAGATCTGCAACACTTTTGGCTCTAGAGCCCACCTGCGAAGATACTGTAGTGAGTCCCGACAAAAATATATAAACAAAAATAAAAATGAATTCATGTTAAAATAAGTTATTTACGA